TCTGAAGGAGGGGTCAGTCTTGTGACATGAGCCCTTATCCAGTGGAGTTTGGGTGAACGCCAGCTATTTAGCATCAGAACTGAATTTAACTGTAGGACAACCAGGGGAGAGTTGTTTGGTGTGAAAGCCCCACATATTTGATGTCAAAAGTGTTCTGTGGGTAGTGTCCTAGAAGTAACAGTACCAGTAAATTCCTGAAAAGAGAAGAAGCAAGAGGGTAGATTACACAAAGTTTTCTATATTGAATTTATAGAACCAATTTTGGAAAAAATACCTAGTATATTCTTCACTGCAGAAGTTTTTAGGAATGCTTTATTACCAATAAGGTATTTTTTTTTTTTTTAAGACAAGGTCTCACTCTGTAATTCAGGCTGGCCTTGAACTCACAGCAATACTCCTGCCTCGGCCTCCCGACTGCTGAGATCACAGGCATGCGCTACCATGCCCAGCAGGTAATGCATTTTGATAGAGAAGAAATTATACCAGTTAGAGCCCGGGAAGAAGAAAGGATTACAACCAACTCTGTGTTAAACACTTCATCTCTCATGGAATTGTCTCTCATGTAACAATGATATGGGTTAACATGTTCATGATGGTGTCATAATTCTCATGTCTCACTGCCAGGCAGCTCTGAACCACTAGTGGTACATGCATGACTGTCTTACTGGGCAGCATGGGGCAGTCCCATTGGGTGGTACAAGTCACCAGTTGGGACAGTTGTGCATGTACCATTGGTGATTTAAGTCAGTGGGAATGTGTTAAAGCAAAAGGTCTAGTTCTAAAGCTTTACAGCTTTTCAGCTGTACTAGTAAAAATGGTGTTGAATCATACTGTCATTGAATACAAACTGGAAACTCAGAACTGGGTGTTGCGTAGGTCCAACTTTTAAGCCTATGAGATAGACAGGATACTTCTTCCTAAATCAATAGAGCAAGGAACCAAAATAGCAGAGAAGCAATCAGTGGCGAAATTCAGCCTCTCCAGGACCTGGAATCCAGAAACTGGGAAAATGACAACCTGGCAAAGAAAAAAAAAAATCTTCAAAAAACCAAAACAACGCCAGGGATTTAGCTCAGTGGTTCGATTGCAAGCGCAAGGACCTGAGTTCCATCCCCAGTACCAAAAAAACAAAAACAAAAAACCCAAAACAACAACAACCACAACAAAAAACAAAAATCCAAGGGAGGAAACTGAGGAATTGATAAGAAAACCAGAAGCTACAAAGAAGATAGAAAAATGGACCAGAATGCAGAGAAAAGAATAAAGCAGCCTGGAAGTTTACCTTGACTACCAGGGAGGGAAACTTGTCTTTGCAGACACAAAGTGAGTCCAGAGAGGGGTCAGAGATCCAAGGTGGAACAATGGATTAGGTCAGCAGCACTAGCCCCAAGAAAAGCCCATGGCTATTGTAAATTGCAAAAGCAGCATGGGGTTTTACCTTGAAAGTGACTCCTTCCACATGGTAGGCAACAAATGGGGAAGGAATCCAGTACAGTGTCTGCCATACTGCCAAAGAATGTTTAGTCAGATGCCATTTCTGGAAAGGGTTGGTTATTTAAGACGGAGCCTCACGATAACTGAAAAATATTAACTTTACTTTAGGGATCCCAGTGTCACCTTCCCACAGAGACTGGGTGAGAGGGAGCCATAGGAGACACAACTGGAGAAAGAGTGTGGGTTAGATACAGGTACCCTGAGTTTAAGCTCAGGCTGGGAAGGACATGGAGCCCCACCTCCCATGGTAAAAAGCCAGGCCAGGCATATGTGGCCCTCAGAAATGGCTGTCTACAGACAACAGGTTTGCTTGCTTTCCCCATCTACCAATGTGAGCAAAGACATGTTTCAGCTTGGACAGTTACCATATTCTAAGGTGAATGGACAGAGGGGCCTCTGGAACAGGAGGGCACCTCAAAAACTCATAGCACATAAAGCTAGGCAGAGAAAACCATGACTTATTGGATTCCAAAACTGGAGATTTTGGAAAGAAACCACTCATTCAAAAATACATAGAAAAAAACTGGGTGGCTTATTTTTTCTCTTTCTTCTTCATTGGTTTATTTTTGGGGGGTGTTGGGGATTTTATCTTTTTTTCTTTTTTCTCCTTTTAATTTTTAATTAATTAATTAATTTTTAATCATTCTTTGTTCTCCCTTTCTCTTGTTTATTCTTTTCTGTTATCTTTATCTAATTCTACCACTTTCTTTTTACTCCTTAAAAGGATCCTTTATCTCACTTTTCTTTCTTCTTTTTCATCTTCCATTGATTTATTTTTCAGAATTGTCTTTTTCATTCTCCTGTTCCCCATACCCTCTATATTTACTATTATAATCTTTAAATAGTTAGTTGAATTTTTTTCTATTAGTGAAGGTATAGTTAACATATTTTATATGTCAATATTTGGTTTGTCTTAGTGTTTGTACTACAATCATAGATCACTTTTCTAAGGTTAAAGGTAGTAAATTACTGGTTCTTTTCTTTTTTTTCCCCCCTGGTACCAAGAATTGAACTCAGGGCCATCTGCTTGCCAGGTAGGTGCTGCACTGCTGAGCTATATCCCTGGCAAATTATTGGTTTTTATGGTATGTCAATATTCAGTTTGTCTTTGACATTATTACTGTTGCTGATTTACTTTCTATTGCCAGGTTGATATCTGGATTACTTTTGATCATAACAGTACAGTATTCTGTTCCTGGAGAACTAATTACTAGGCCAATTACACTGCATTCTCTCCTCCCAAATTAACAGAGGTGGCTGGATATTGTGATAAAGAATTAAAATAACACTGAGATTGCTAACTTATTCCAGAAAGAATGGCTATCATTAAGAAATCAACCAATGACAAATGTTGGAGAGGTTGTTTTAGGAGGAATGTAAACTAATACAATCATTATGGAAATCAGTATTGAGATTCCCTAAAAAACGGAAACTAGGGCCACAGATTTAGTTCAGTGGTTCTGCCACCTGCCCCACAAGCACAAGGCCCTGAGTTCTATCCCTGGTACCAAAAAACAAACAAACAAACAAAAACCCAACAATAACAACAACAAAAAAACCCAAACAACTTGTCACTTTGACACTTCAAGCTGGCACATTCAGAAGGAGCTGCTACTTTGGGAGATTGCTGGAAGTCAGTTCCTAGTAAGTGGCTGTAGCTGTAAGGTGCTTCTGTGGCATACATGGAGGACAAGAAGGAGGGGAGCACTGGTGGGCGGCAAGTACATGTGTGGTGGCCCTGGACTGGCTGCAGGGCAGACTGAGTAATGAGGGGATGAGCCTGTCGGGGAAGTGGGAGAGAAGGGAGATGGAAGGGTAAACGTGTCTTTACTTTCCCTCCAATCCGGTCTCTCATTCTCCTGCTTGTGTGAGGCATTACCAGCACTTGCGCTTACGAGGCAGGTGTGGTGCCACTGAGCTAAATCCCTGACGCTTTTCTGCTACTTTTAAGCAAACTGGACGATTATACTTTCTCACCCACTTGAAGTTAAGCATGGTCATGTAACTTGCTTTGGCCCTTGAAATGGAGTAGACGTGGTATGTGTGACTTCCTGACAGAAGCATTTAAAGGTTAGCGTGACTTTCCATCCTGCTTTTCTCCGATTTACTCAGGTAAATGTACCCATTCATGCAGAAGTGGCATAAAATCAAAGAGAGAAGCTTTACCTGAGTCAGGGAGACAAAGCAAGACAAACAAAAACAAAACAAAACCACTGGACGTGGTGGCGCACGCCTGTAATCCCAGCACTTGGGAGGCTGAGGCAGGAGGACTGCTGCAAGTTCAAGACCAGCCTGGGCTACACAGTGAGTTCCAGAGCAGTCTGAACTACACAGTGAGACCCTGTCTCAAAACCAACTGTTGATAACATTAAAGCCACTGATATTTCTCTTGATTCTGAGGTCCTATCCTATCTTCTCCCATACCTTCTAGAAGTTTCTCCTCACCCCCCTTCTTGTACCTTCCTCTCAATAACCATCTCCTTCTTTCCTTCCCTGTCCCTGTATTCTACGATGCCATCACTATCCTACCTGCTGGTCACAAGTATAACCTTTTATATCCTTAGTCTCAATCTAAAACACAGATAACATTTGTTTTCATCTAAAATGGTGATTTTTTGAATTAAACATTTTTCTTTTGTACCAGGGATCGAATTCAGGTCCTTGCACTTGCGAGGCAGGCGGCAGCGCCAATGAGCTAAATCCCCAGCCCCAAATTAAACATTTTTTATCTCTCTTGAATTTCATTTTATCTGAGATAAACTAAAATTTATCTTTAGCTTATATAAAAACATATGCTTTGAGAATTGTACTATGTTACCTAAACAAATGATACTGGCATTGTGGACAGGTCCTCAGTTTATTTTTTTCTGTGGGCTAATGGGTATCAAGAAAAACAAAAACAACATCAACCTTCCTTAAACATCATGCAATAACAGCCACGCAGTTCAGAAACCCTGAGCTCCCCCTGGAGTAGCCAGAGCAGTTAACTACTTTAGGTGCAGTCGGTCTTTCAGCTGTCACCAGTCGTTTTGTTAAGACGGCTGGAGGAGCCAGAGAACCCTAAAGCCTATTCGAGATGGTAGGACATGTAAGGTTATCCGAAGGACCACTCATTTTCATGCTCATTCCCTCACGACATAGTATTTAGACCTGAGGTCACCTCCACCACCCTGAAAGTTGTTTTAAGGAATTCAAAATCACTTCAGACACAAAGCAGCAGAAAATAGCAGCAGGAAAATGCAAAGACAGCCTGGCTAATCATGCACATTTAAATAAGCACAACAGATGTGCATTAAAAAAAAAATTCAGCCAGCTCTGGTTTCAAGTAAACACATGCTGCACTAGGTAAACAGGATCATGCAGGGAACTCCTGAGGATTTTACACACAACCTGCTCCTCAGAGATGATGTGGTGCGGAGAAAAGAGGAATGTTAACATTCACATGGGGAACAGAACAGCATGCAACAGGGGTGAAGGTCTAGTGGAGAATTCTGAAGTCCACTTACTGCCTGCTTTTGTTCTTCCTCCTGGAAGTGTTGAAGATGAAAAAAGGCAGAGGAGAAAAGGAGAGAAATTAATGCCCATCACTGCAAACATTGGGAAGCAATGTTAGTAGAAATGAGGCAAACGGGCTAGGCCCATGTGTCCTGAGCTAAAAAGACCCTATCCACTAGACGATCAAAATGCCAGGGGTCTGCCTCAATCAGTTAATCCAATGCACTAACCTCTAGAGTTGAAAGAAAAAAAGAAAAAAACAAAATACAACAACCTTAGAAAGCATCTGGTAGAACTTCCTCATTTACAGATGAAAGAGGTCTTGAGAGGCTGGCTTATCTAAGGTCAGTAACTATTTAAGGTAAAATGAAAGAGGAAGTTCAACCACGGCTACTTCATCATGCACTACCTCATCAACCGTATGTTTGGAGACAGGTACGGGGCCAGTGGTCCTCAAGGTGTGGAACACAAACCTGCAGCTGTGTCACTTGGGAGCTCATCAGAGATGCAAACTGTGCCCCACCCAAGACTGGCTGACTGGAGGCTCCGGGTTAGGACACAGCCTTGTGTTCCTAGAGCGCGTCCGTCCTAGTTTGAGAACCGTTGCTCTAAATTCCAACTAGCAGTTCCACCTGATCAGAGGTTCTTTTCTTCTTTCCTAGTCCCCTCTGTCCACTAAACATGTTGGCACTGCATCCTCTCCACTTGGTTATAGGCTGTTTTGTCTTTTGATTTGGGGACACACATGCATGCCTCTTCCCCTAGGAAGTTGGAGGGTGTTTCAGGATCCTGTAAGGCCCTTCAAAAAAGAACTCAAACTGTTTTTCATTAATTTAACACAGGTTTATTTAGTAATTCTTATGCATCACACTGAAACTAAGATAACTTCTCTGTCTTTTAGAACTTTCAGAACTTTATAGTGATGGTTATAGTGATAGCAGAGCAGGTACTTGTTAACTACAGTTGACTGTCCAGATGAATGCACCATCACACATTGTAAAAGAAGAAAAAAAGAGGAAATAAACACTTCTAGGTTCCTCTCTCCTTTGCCCTTTGCTTCTTAGCTACTCTGTCTTTTAATAAATCGCGTTGCTTCCTGTTTCTGTGCTGCATCATGGGTCACTGGGCGCAGAGCCTCTGCTCCTTACTCCAGTATTTAAGTCATAAAGCGACTGCAGCAGTTCTACTTGAACTACATCCGGGTACACAGGAAGTCTCCACTGACCACAGGTCCAGGGAGTCTTAGGAAGGATATGTGCTCTTGCTCTCTGAGTCTGTGGGTCTGGGTGTTAAGGCAGACTGATTTCAGTAAATCAAAGGAACTGTAAAAGGGAGAGGGTAAGCAAAAACTTGGAGAAAACATTTTTTATTCCTGCAAGGAAAGACATGGACTAGAAATTAAACGAACACAAATATTAAGGTAAATGGAACAAAAAAAAATCCCACAAGGAGACGCTGGCTCTGCCCAGAAAGGTACAGTTCACAATGAAAGCCAGCTGTCAGCAGACTGACCAAACCCAACCCCCAGGAGCCCAGGCAGAGGGCCCTGAGCACCAGTGTAGCCTGAAGATCGTGTTAAGAGTCTTTTTGCCTTGGCACCTGGCAAGCATGGCTGGGCTCTAATCAGGAAGTGCTCTCCCTTCCCAGCCAGAATTCCCTCTAGGGGAGGACACTGCTTATATTCACTAGGCAAGGCAAACAGCCATACGAGATGATTAAACAATTTTAAAATGTGCTTTTATTGCCGGCTCTAGGTGCTGAAATGGAAATTGAGTTGGTAGGGAAGGATGGAGCAATCTTCACAAGCTGAAATCCTATCTGAGGTCAAAAGACCAGTAAGTATGTATTTTCTTAGAATTCTTTCTAGGACACCTCCCTGTTTTCACTGTTTCCCCAGGTTTGGTCCTAGAGATAACACTGCTTTAGTTTACAGAACAGGGATATTTGAGACAGCAATGTTTCTGCTTGCACACTCAGTGACTCTGTTATATGTTTGTCCAAAGACATGAAATCATTATGATCTGCAGTGCACACACTTGTTAGGATGCAATGGTGGACAGGCCAGCATTCTCAGGACTCAGAGGCCTCCCGTCAATGGTGGTGGGAGGTGGACTTTGACAAAGTGTTATCTATGATGGTGTTGTATAACTTAGACTCATGAAGTTATTCAGATAAGGCCTTAAAGGCCTAAAGCTATGTCAACACAGTAAACATCAGATATAAGGTCTCAGAACCTTTTTGTTATCAATTGATCAACTGGGATCAATAAACACTGATGACAAGGGGTGGTGCCAACTTGATTTGCGGGAGTCATAATACCTTCATTATAAAGTACAAACCTAGATGTGCTTATGTCTCCTGAAAACAGAATCTCTTCCAAATGGAGGATGCCTGGCCACATAATGGCATAGCTGCTGTAGTCATCTATATAAAAACTTACATTTTAACTGGTTAAACAATTGTATTAAGGCTGAAATTCAAAACTGCAGAAATTAGCTAGTATTTCAAAAGTGTATTTCAAAAGCAGTCTGAGAAAAATGAAGCAGAAAAATGTTGGGAGTATGAGTTAGAAACCAAAATACCAACACATAAGCATTCTATATCAAGTAAATGTTATCTTTAAACTCATTAATCAGGGGAAAAATGCAAGGAAAAGATATGTACAGATATATGGGTACTTGAGTATCAGTCTACATTTTATCACTAAAAAAAAAAAAAAAAAGAGAAGAAAGTCCCTGATACTCCTTGGATACAGAAATTGAGTTCACTCACTCACCACTGTTCACCAAACACCCAACAGGACACTTTGGAACACAATACATTTCTGTTATATAAACATACAGTTAGTTTTTTTGGCCTTTTCCAGAAAACGGGAGACTTTGTTGAATGAATTACTACACAAAGGTTTCCCTTTAATATACTTAAGTTATTGGTTTTGAGATACAAAGATAAGAGTGCACAATATTTTACTGAAGTAGTAGAATGAAAGAACTCCCTGTGAAATGGAAATTTACTACTGATATATTTTAATTTATGAGTCTCCCAGAGCATGTGGTTTGACTGTCCATTTGACAAACTGCTTACAGCTGTTTCATGAGCAAATTAAATGCCAGCAGACTGAACATCAGTGAAGGACAATCCCTTGAAATTAAAATTAGGACTCTAAAGTGTACTTTCATTATGGATTGGTGAATTTTTTTTAGTAGTAGGGAAATATCTTTGAGATTTTAATAGAAATCGCTGATTCTTATGTATGACCTTTCAGAATGCATATAATATACAAATTAAAATTGTGCTGTAATTCTTTTAGGAAGCTGGACACCACATGCATTGTATTTTCAAAGGTGAATTCAATTCGGTAGCTAAAAAAAACACATTTCTAGGTTTGTGTTTGCAAATTGCTCCTTTAGGTCTGGATGTTCTCGGCCTATCAGTTAGATAAATGAAAAGGCATTTAAGAACCTGGCAGGGCTCCTACGAAATGGGTTGGCAGGATCTTGCTTATTTTATTGAAATTATATAAGAGCTAGAAATGTAGAGAAAGTTAGGGTTCGGGGTCAGTGTTCCAGCTACTAACTCCTCCTGCGTAGCCCTTGAAAACAGGTCAGTGTCACATATGCCAAGGTCACAGTGGTTATGCCTGCAGCTCAGAGGCAGCAGTTGTGAGGAAGACCAAGGACAACTGAACAGAAAGGAAAGTGCAGCGTGTTAATTAGGTGAAATGCACTCTTGACTTCCCTTCAGTTTCAGAGACCTTTTACCTCAAAGGTAAAACAAAATCACACTAGGGTATCTTCCTATCTATGTGTGGGTTATGTTTGAGAGCCACTTTCTGAAAGGGAACAGGGTGAGGCATCCCTTATCATCCCCTGTCCCACAGGTGTACCAAGTCCACTCAGAGGGCTTCCAGTGCCCCGCATGTCCAGGAATTACATAGGCCAGATACATGAATATGCACTGCGGCTGTTTTGAGTGGGTGACCGAGTCACTTAGCTGTGTACCTGACAACTATTAGAGGGATACAGACCAGGCATTTTGATAAGGTTTTCTTTCAACCACATTCAGTTAGATATAAAACATTTCTGAGGGGGAATCCTGCTAACAGGGTTAGTGCACCAAAATGTCCATGCAAAACAACTCAAATGCCCAGGACCAAGCTAGGAAAACAAAAACAAAAACTCGGCTCAAAACTAGAAGCAATTGTCTTGAAGAAATCAAAAGTCAGTTAAAAGCACAAACACAGTATTTATCCAGGTTGCCAGAACCCACCAGCTTCATTACCAAGGGATTACTTTAAAATATAGAGGCTGAAAAGAAACCTCCAAGATGCTACTTTCTTGGGCTCCCATTCCTAGTTAGACTTTTGATACCCTGGGTCTGGGTGACTGCATGAGTCTCACATTATACTTTAGTTTTTCCCTTTTTAACTTGTGGCAAATATTCTCCTAAACTTACTGTTGTTATTATTGAGAGTCTCACTATGTAGTTGAGGCTGACCCTGATTCACCATGTAGCCCAGGCTGGCCTTGAACTCAGTGATCCTCCTGCCTCTGGCCTCCCAAGTGCTGGGATTACAGATGTGCAACACTGCACCCAGCTTCTAAACCTTTTTTTTTTTTTTTTCTGCACCAGGGATCAAACTCAGGACCCTGCACTTGCGAGGCAGGCTAAACTTGTATTTTAAAACCTTCAATGACTGCTCTTCATCACACCATTCAGTTTACTCCTTTGGTCTGGCTTTTGAGGCCTCCCACATGTGATTTTTGCTGTGGCTACTAAGTAAGTGTCTTGCTACAAAATGCAGTGTGTTCACAGCACTGACAGGCAAGTCCTTGGAAACCTACAGCATGACGCCAGGTGTCCTGTACCCTATAACTAGGAAAATATTCCTGTTTAGTGCCAATAAATTGTCTGGGTGCAGACATTTCAATGCCACCCATACCTTTCTCTACTCTAGGATAAGGGACTGTAATATGCCCTTTAACAAACAGAAAAACCTGTATTATTTTGGATTTATTCAGGTCCCAATATACTAAACCTACTGCTAACATGCTATTTTATTCCTAGTAAGGTTATTATTTAGAATTGGTTTGTGTGATGGTCGCTTTTATGTGTCAACCTGAATGGGCTGAGATATCCAGGTAAATAGTACAACATTATCTCTGGTTGTCGGAGAGGGTGTTTCCAGAAGAGACTGGCATTGGAATTACTAGCCAAGAAAAGAAGATCCACTTAAATTAATGTAGGCAGGCACCACCAATCCACTGAAGAAACGGACAGAACAAAAAGGCACAGGAAAGGTAAATGTTTTCTCTCCTGGAGCTGGACATTGGCCTCTGCCTGCCTTAGATGCAGAAGCTCCAGGCTTATCCCAGTGACTCTCCTTGCCCACTCTGGACTGCAGGCCACACCATCTGCTCTCTGGGTGGCAGGCACTCAGGGATTATACCCGGGGCTTTCCTGGGTCTCCGGCTAAGAGAGATCACATCCTGGGACTTCGCTGCCTCCGTAACCGAATGAGCCAACTCTCATAATCATTTCTCTTTTCTAAATTTACATAAATCCTGTTGGTTCTGTATCTCTGTAAACATTCTAATGCAGCTTGCCTCTGTACACCTATTAACATAGGGCACTTGATATTTGTGAAGTATTTGGAGGGAATATCTGAAAACTGAAACTTTGAGTAGTTGAAAAATATTGTTCATTTATTCCTAGCTAATACCCTGTCTATCAACATCTTTATTTACTTATAAAAGCAACTACTCAAGAACATTACCCTATTTCCATTTAGCAATTTTCCTATAATCAGGCTTTATACTAATTTCAGTAATTTTACTACTTAAATAGGCCACATTTATGGAGGTTTACCTGAAAACTGGTTCTAGGCCTGACAGCCAAAGATTTAGACCCAGGCAGCGGCAGAGGCTGTGGTGGGAGGAGGAGACCAGAGAGGCTCTCGCTCTTACCTTCAGTAGCTTCATCAGCCCTTCCAGCTGGACCATCAGCTCCCGCCTGCTCTCCTGCAAGGCAGACATCCTCTGCTCCAGCTCATCTTTCCTCTGCCTGTATAAGGGGAAGAACTCATCAGAAAAGAGATTTGTTGGTGTATTATGCCAGATGGGTATTGGCAGTTGCCGGATTCATATTACAGAAATACCTCAGTTCACAAATGCTTTGGTTTGCAAACAAAAGTATTTGGCAACAGTTTGCTTCCACTTGCAATCTCATCAGGTGACAAACTTGACCATGACCATAGCCATCTTCCCCACACAAACACAAATGCTGCCATCTTCCCCAAAATCATTAAACAAATTAAGTCTGTAAACTGAATACCACTGTATATGATTCATAAGGTTGTTGAATACCTACAAATGAATCTTGCCCTTTATGTGTCTTTTGATAAACAGAAGGTAATGCTTTAAAATTTATTTTTATCAGTGTATGTTTGCATTAAATAATGTTTACATTCCATATATAGGACTTGTTATACATACATAACACATCTCAATTCCTTTTCTTTTTGGTACCAGGGATTGAACTGAGGACTTTATGCTTATGCTTGCAAGGCAGGCAGCAGAACCACTGAGCTAACTCCCTAGTCCTTCAATCCTTTTTTTAAATCTACTTTCCCCTGCTCCCTCCCAAAAGTTAATATTAATGTGGAAGATTTACCAACTGCATAACCAAAGTTCTGAGAAATTATTTTCTATTCCAAAATCATAAAGCAATTCTGTGTTTTCCTCTAGTTTTAAACTTTTGTCTTCATGCTTCAATGGTCTGGTGTTGGTTTTTGTCTGAGGTAGAAGGCCTCACATATATTTGCCTATAGGCACAGACAACTATTCCAGCACATTCATTAAACATCTCCCCTTTCCTCATGATATAGAAGCGCCTTTTGAAATTACCTGCTCTCTGATTTCTCAAGCTTTAGATACCCCCTTAGGCTTGGATCAAATTTCTACTTCTTGCTGCCTTACATGACATCCCTGGACTCAGCCCTGTACCCACTAAATCTATGAGATTTTTTTAGATCTTTCCAACTTAACTGAGCACCTCAGGCAACTTCAGTTCCAGCAACAGTTAAGAGTAGTGGATGACAGTTTTTGCTTTTTTAGATATAAAACAGTCACATGTGCCTGAGCTGAGCTAGGGAAAAAAAAATGTCTGTGGTGACAGTTCAGTTACCCTCTGCCTGAATCAGCATGTTTTCTCCATTTTTTCTAGTGTAACACCAAACAATACCAACATCCCAAATGTGTGACAGTGAACCACAGAGCAGCCAAAACTTCAGCTCAACTAAATTTAGAAACTAAAATGAATTTTTAGGAGAATGGGGAGCTCTATATCTCTACTGATCTTCACCTGAATAGTTTAAATTCTTTGAGTTACTTATTGATGGTATGAATGTAAATTATTAGGATACCTATGGAATAATCTAAAAAAAAAATTTTTTTTTTTGGTACCGGGATAGAACTCAGGACCTTGCACTTGTTTTTTGAGACAGGGTCTCACTATGTAGTTGAGACTGACCTGGAACTATGTATCCCAGGCTGGTCTCAAACTCACAGCGATCCTCCTGCCTCAGCCTCCTGAGTGCTGGGGTTACAGGCGTGCGCCACCATGCCCGGATGGACCTTGCACTTGTGAGGCAGGTGCGGTGCCACTGAGCTAAATCCCTGGCCCAATAATCTCCACTTTCTAGGACAGTGGTGGTGAATCTATATCATGTTATTGCAGCCAGCTGCTTGTTACCATTGAAAGCTCTAAATGGTTCGCCATCACTGCTCTAGGAAAATAAATCATGATTGAGCAGGCCAAATGACCCAAGCGAAAGGAAGCGAGAGAGGGAAAAAAAGTATTCAGCTATGCAGAATCCCAGATGACAGCTCATTACAGATCAACTGTGGGATGTCAAATTATCAAATACTACAAGTATTTAGGAATCTGGAGTTCTGGTTTCCACAATGTCTTTACTTACAGAAGAGTATAGATACAACATTCAAAGGTGGACAAGGGCCTAAAAAGAAGAGATTATTCACGTCATGCTCTTCTGGGAAGAGGTCTCCATTCCCTTTCAAACAGCGTAAAACTGGAAGCTGACATTGCTCTCCACTCCCATGATGACCCTCTGTCCTTAGTTTTTTTAAATTTTGAGACAGTGTATTGCTATGTAGTTCAGACTGGCCTTGGAGCTATGTAGCCTAGGTTGGTGAGCCTTCCTTCCTGCCTTAGCCACATTACAGTGTGTGCTATTACACCCGGTTCTCCTTAGTTTCTCCATCCCTGAGACACTATATTTGTGCAGATGTGGAAAAGGAAAAGTAGCACAATCATGGTGCGACTCCGCCTTGGCTTTGTGTCTCACAGGTGCTGCACAGCACACATGCTCCTTGGTGGCCTCCGCTCTGACTGTGAAGTGCCAGAAGCACAAACTCACATGCAAGGGAAAGAATTATTCCTGACAAGTCTCTGGAGTCAGATTATGTCCTCACAACAGAACAGGAATGGCAGCATGATGTCATCTCAAAACAATGGCAGACACTGGCCCACTTGCTCATGGATCTGAGAGAGATTTATATTTACTTAGCTCAAGTTCTCAAGGTGACTAATGATGGAACTCAGCAGTATGTGCTAATAGGACTGGGTATAGACGAGCAGATTCTACCCGACTCATTTGGCTTCCTGAGCTATAAATTCCCACTGTAAACTTTAGAGGCGTAGTATCACTGCTTACCTCAGCAACCGTAGCTCTGCCAGCAATGTGGGGTTCTGCTGGGCCTTCTCAGGAGTGGGCTGGGAGGCCTGCTCGTGCTCTAGGCGGAGGCGCTGGATCTCCTGCAGGATCTCTCTATTGGGGCACACACAAAAAAACGGCTGCCTACACTTCCCAGCTCCTGCTCTCCTGTTACAAGTTTTTACCCTCGCAGCGGCTCCTATACCAATCTCACTGATTGCTTCCAAAGGACCAAGATGTGGAATGGATACTTTCTAAACAGCACCTCACCTTACATTTCCTCAAAAACAATCCTTTCTGGTAGAAAAACTTCAAAACACTCTTCTCTAGAACTTGAAAAATCTCCAGGAAAGAAAAACAATAACCTGAATGCTTCATCTACTCTGCTCCTCTCTGGAGGAAAGGAAGAGAGAATTTGTAGTCTCTAATCCAGGTCCAAAGCCAACTTTCTGAGGCTTTCTCTGTGTTCCTCGCTTCCTGACCCATCAACTGACCAAAGGCCAGGGGCCATTTTCCTCTCCTGCATGTTACACAAGATCTCCATGCCTTTAAATGAGAGAGGTTTTCTAAATGAGAGGCTCGTCACTTATACTATACTGGGCCAGGACAAGATTACTACACAGAACAAAACACTGTTAGAAGTAGTGGAAAAAGGAATCCCAAGAGAGGACACACTAGTGGGAGTGGGGGCTGGGAAAAAGGATCTACCTGGGAGAGTAGTACTCTGGACAATCAGAATTAAGAGCCTGCGCATATGTACCACGTAAGAGTCCAGGGCATTGCTTGGACTTGTGGGATCTTCCTGTGTGGTCAAAAGTTATCTAGCTGTGAGGAAAACAAGAACCAAACACTCAAGAAAATTCTGGACTTGAAAAAAAGGGTTCAACTTCTGCCCTCTTACCTGTTCTTGTTTTCCAATTCTGCAATGAGCTGTCTCTGCTGTTTGTTGGCATCAAAATTAAAGCTCACATCAGTGGGAGGACGAGTCTAAAGAGGGGAGAGAGTTATTTTCTGATTTACCTATATCGAGTCTGAGACTGCTGTTTTGAGGTATAATTTACATATCATAAAACCCATCCATTTTAGAGTACAACTCAATGAGTCCTAGTAAATTTAAAGTTGTGCAGCCACCCACCACAGCCCAGTGTAGAATACTTTCCATCACCATAAAATAATCCCTCACATTCGTTTGTCAACTGCCACCGCCACTCAGCAACTGCTGATAAGGTTTCAGTTCGCCTTCTCTAGAAACTTCACAGAAATGGAATCATACAACATGAAGGTTTCGCTTTAGACTTCCACTTAGCATGGTTGTTGAGGCTCATTCATGAAATCAGTAGTTTCTTTTTATTCTTTTTGTTGCTGAGTAGTATTTCACTGTTTCCAGCTTTGGGACATTACAAATGAAGCTGCTATGAACTTTTATCATCTTTGTGTCAATATGTTTTCATTTCTCTTGGGTAAATATATTGGCATGGGATAGCTGAATTATATGGTAATGCTGAATTTAAAAACACCCGAGGAACTGCCAAACTGTTGCAGCGTTTGCACCATCTTACAGTGCCACTGATAATGAATGAAGGTTCCAATTCTGCACACTCGTCAACACTTGTTATTGCAGTCGTTTTCACCATTCCAGTGAGCTGGGCATTCCTAGTGGTGAGCTTTAAAAGACTGTGTATTTATTTTACATACCATAAAATCTATTCTTTTGAAGTGTGGAATACATGGGTTTTAGTGTAATTATGAGGCTATAAAATCACCAATTCCAGAATATCTTAACTATCCCCCCAAAACCCCACATTCATTAGTAGTCATTCTTCCGCTCTCCACCCTCTGACATTACCATGTCTATGGATTTACCTATCCTATGCATTTCATATAAATGCAATCATACAATATGTGGTCTTTTATGTCTGGCTTCTTTCACTTTGCAAAAGATCTTCAAGGTTCATCCATGCTGTTTCATTAATATTTCATTCCTTTTTATTGCTGAATAATCTTCCACAATATATATGTCACATTTTATATATTCAATAGCTGATGGATATTCAGGACATTTCCACCTATTTTGGATAATGCTATGAACATTGTGTAGAGATAAATTTTTTGGTTTTGAGGCAGGGTCTTGATATGTATTCCAGACTGGCCTCAAACTCTTGGTGTTCCTCCTGCCTTTACCCCCAGGGCTGAGGTTATAGGCATGCACACCACACCTGGCCAGAGACAGATTTTTCTTACTCTTGAGTATGAAGTGGAGTTTCTGGGTCTTATTTCTCTTGAGAAACTGCCAAACTGTTTTCCAAAGTGGCTGCATTGTTTTACATTCCCACCAGCAGTGTGTGAGGCACTCGCTTTTCCATATTCTTTCTAACACTTGTACTGTTCATCTCAGCTGTGGCATGTGTGCCATAGGTTCACCACCACTGTCCTCGTGCGTGTGAAGTGGTATCTTATGGATTCATTTTATATTTCCTTAATATGAATATGCTTCTTATTGGCCACTTGTGCATTTTCCTGGGAGAAAGCATGTGGATGTGATTTGTACATCCACTGATGTCTCTGACCCTTGTTTAAGAATACCTTAGCTATGCAGTCTGGGCAACTTAGTGCAACCTTGTCTCAAAATATCAAAAAAGAGCTGAGGATACAGCTTACTGTGAAGGACTTGGGTTCAATCCCTGTACCACTAAGAGAAAAAAAAGACAAAGAAAATATGATGGGAAAAGGGATGACAAGATGGTTTCCTTTTTATTGAGCAGCCAGAACGGAAACATCTACGAGGCTCTATGATGACTGTGCTTCACTCTGCATTCTTGGTTCTGCCTGAAATGTACTGAAACAGAAACCTTGTTTGTTGCCTAGAGCCTGAAGATTCAATAAATAACTCTTTTCATATGGTGTTTTCTAAATAAATGGTAAAACAGCACAGCAAATCTAGGTGGGAGGATTTTTACCAGATTACCAAATATTTTTCTTTTTTCAAAGAAAAAACAAAGTTTCTTCCTCCAAAGAAGCAGGGTCCAGCAGCCAGCTGAGTAAATTTGCTGTATTGTATTCAGAGTCTTAAAGAGTCCAAGCTGAGCCTCAGAAAAAAGGCTTGAGACTGAATCTGGCTATGAATAGATTTGTAATTCCTAAAAACTGGAGTAAAAAGTCTGTCTATAGAGTGAGAACATGGAGATTGTAGAAGAGGAACGAGCTCTGAAAGGCACAGTTTCATATGACAAACAAAAGCTCTAATATTTCACTGGAAATGTTTAAGGAATCTTTCCAGTTTGGAGTGTTTGCAAAGCCAAGGCATCTTCCATAGCAGAGGTTAGTGCAGGATCGAGAGTCACTGTTGGGACACACTCAGCTACCTCATCTTTGACAAAGGAGCCAACCATCCATCCTCAGTGGAGGAAAGAGAGCCTCTCTAATAAATGGTGTTGGAAAAACTGGATTTCAACCTGCCAAAGATTAAAACTAGACCCCTATCTTTCACCATGTGCTAAACTAAAATCAAAGTGGATTAAAGATCTAAATATTAAAACAGAAACACTAAACTTGCTGGAAGATAAATTAGGTAGAACTCTTGAAGACACTGGCATAGGAAAAGACTTTATGAACAAATCCTCAGTAGCACGGGAACTAGCACAAAGAATCAACAACTGGTATCTCATCTTATTAAAAAGCTTCTGCACTGCAAGAGAAACCACCAAGAGTGAAGGGACAACCTATTATGTGGAAAGAAATTTTTATCAGCTGTTCCTCCAAAGGACTACTATCTAGAATATGCAATGATTTTTTTTTTTGGACTCAGATTCCCTGCGCTTGCGAGGCAGGTGCGGTGCCAAAGAGCCAAGACCCTGGCCCTCTAGAATATATAAAGAACTTAAAAAGTTAGACCCCCCAAAATATAAAAGCCCAGTTAAAAAATGGGCATCTAAAATGAACAGGCATTTCTCAAAGTAGAAATAGCAAATAAACATATGAAAAAATATTCAGCATCACTGGTCATTGGAGAGATGCAGATGAAAACAACACTGAGATTCCACCTCACCCCAGAAAGAATGGCTGCTATCATGAAATCAACCAGTAACAAATGCTGGAGGGGCTGTGGGGAAAGACAAACCTTGCTCCACTCCTGGTGGGAGTGTTGACTGGTGCAACCACTGTGGAAATCAGCATGGAGATATGTCAAAAAACTCCATTTGATCCAGGTATTCCCCTGCTGGGTATCTTCCCAAAAGAATTAAAAGAATCATACTACAGCAATATATGCTCACCCATGTTTACAGTGGCAGAGTTCATAATAGCTAAAATTTGGAAATAGCCCAATTGCCCATCAACTGGAGACTGGCTAAAGAAAATGTGTGTGTGCTTTTTAAAAAAATAAAACGGAATACTACTCAGCCATAAAGAACGAGAAACTAGACATTTATATAGCCAAATGGATGCACAATGAGGCCATACTCTTAAGTGAAATAAACAGGACACACATGTAAATACTGGATAGTTTCTCTGGTGTGAAAAACTAAAAGTGTAAGTAAGGATCAAAATGTATAACTAACAACAGGAAGAAAAGGTCTAAAGAGTACTGGAAGTAGGAGGGGTAGGGGAAAGGAAAGGAGGGAAAAGAAAAAATATGAGAAAAGGAAAAAATGGAAACAAAAGCATTGTAAATTGGGAAGGGTGGAGGGAGTGAAGGGAGGGCGGGGGAATGGGGAAAAAATAAGCACCAAGATACATCTTGTAAAGGTACAAGATCCCAACAATAAATGTAACTGTAATGAACACCTAAAATGTACCAATAAACTTAATGAAAAAAATCATTGTCAGGCTGGGGATTTAGCTCAGTGGTGCTGTCATCTGCCTCACAAGCTTAAGCGTAAGGTCCTGAGTTTGATCCCTAGTACCAAAAAAAAAAAAAAAAGCTACTGCCAATATAGTCCCAAGCAGGTAAGATTCTTTGGCTCCTGGAAGCACTGTTACTCAAATATAAAGCAGGCAGCAGTGAGGAGCTGGATAGACCAACAGGGAGAACTCCCACACCTGGGTGTCTAACACAGCCTTATTTCACTCACACAAATTTTAAGTACAGCCAGGTTACTATGATGCATCTCTGAACGCTTCATGTATTGAGATTTAATCCCCACTGTGAAGTATTAAAGCAGGTGGTAACTATGGTGTCCACAGGTGGGACTCTAGGAGGTGATCAACAGTAGCTAATGGTCACGAAGGTTGAGCCTGGTTACTTTATTCTAGGGCAGACACCACATGTCCCTGCCTCTTGCTGTGTGATGCCAGCACTGCTTTAGGACACCCTCAGCAAAGTGATCACTAGATACAGCCCTTAGACCTTGGGCCTCCAGGACCGCGAGCCAATAAACTTCTTCTGTATGAAGTTAGCTTGCCCTAGGCATTTCATTATAGAGACTGAAAATGGACTAATACACAAGTGTACAAAAACCAGAGCAGCTGAGTTTATTTACTCACCACCATAAACATGACGGGCTCCGCACAAACACAACTAAAAAAGTCCAGGCCTCCCTTCCTAAAATGCCAGGACACTGAAGGGAGTAACATGGAAATGGAATTCTAAGATACTGTATGCTGGCCTGAAGAGACCTGAGATTCTTTTCAATTTTGGGTTTTTTTCTGCTTCAACAGGGCCACATCTTAGTCACAGGTGGTCTTATTTTGACCTTCCCTGTACCTTTTTTCTCTGCATTTAAAAAATTTTGCTGCATTTTAGATACACATAATGATCACACTCACCCTAAGGAATCTGTACCCACATGTGATAATATCTTGTTTCTTTCTATTCCCCATTTTCCTCCCCTCCCTTCAACACCTCTTCCCTTATCTACAAAGCTTTGTTTCCACTTTTTCTATTCTTATGTTTCTTGTCCTCTTTCCTTTCCTCATCCTCCCTCTCAACTGCTTTCAAAAATTTAAGTTTGTTTTCTTACCTTTCTTGTTGCTGAGACAAAATATCTGAC